TGCTCTTTCCACTTGCCTCTCCGTCCTGTACTGCTCCGCCAACTCCACAGCATCGTTGTCCCCTAGTGGATCAATCATGGCAGTTCTAGCTTCTTCCTAGGCCATTTCTGTCGTGTGTCTGCGAATGGCTTCGGATGCGGGCGCAAGAAAATTCAAAAAGTGTTGCAGAGGTGCATCGCTAGCAACGAAGGAGTTTACACTTGGAATGTTTTGATTTTTTACAAAAAGGTAGATAAAGCGAATAATACCAAAGGCCCACGGCTTGTCTGTATTCCAAGGGTCACAATTAATTCTCGGCAGTTTGAAAATTTTCAAAATTCCGCCACAACTGTCTTTTCAACACCCTATAATGACCTATCGTTTCGCCTATCGCCCAACGCCTAACCTCTCCCACTACGAGATTCTGCCACGTGTATGGCTACGATCCACTGCCCCTTTTCCCTTCCTTGTCTATTCCACTTCATTTCAGCACGTGCCCCATCGCCTCTCGAGCCCCGCGCCACACCACTCGGCCACCCTTCGCGGTCGGCCTTCTGCATGGTCGACCCCCCCACTAGGCCACCCTTCATGGTCGACCTTCCGCATGGTCGGCCTCTCCACTCGGCCACCCATCGCGGTCGGCCTTCAGCATGGTTGGTCCCTCCACTCGGCCACCCGTCGCGGTCGGCCTTCCGCATGGTCGGTCTCCCCGCTCGGTCAGCCTTCACCCTGCCGGTCTTTCACAGCCCTCATTCTCTTCAATATTCCCTTCGTTGGGCTAAAGCTGCACTCGGGAATGGGGGACTACTGACATGGGTAAGCTCATAAAGATTAGAGCCCACCATCTAGGGCCTAACACATATCTCAAACGCTGAAGCCCAGCACTGCCGAAGCCCCATGTAGCAATTAGAACCAATGACATCTAGGCACATGGCAAGAAAAGGGCAAGCCACATCAGCAGACAAAGATCTTCAAAGTTATTGCCACTGCACATCGCCATTAATGAGGCCCTCTCACAGCATTTATTGCGATAACCCCTCTCCGTCGGGACAACACGCCCTCACCCTGAACATGGTAAGCTACAACATAGACTTTCGGCTAAGGTGACAGGTCAGAAGAGACAGCGTAATGATTACCAAAGGATAAAAGCAGACGTCGAAGACATGTAGAAGGTTAAGCTTTTCTATCTCTAATCTATCTACGCTCTCCACTTCTCTCTCTAGCTTGCTCGTCGGAGGGTTCGCTGGGGGACTCCCCATTCCCCGTTGAACTCTTGTGCAGGTCTTCCGGTGGGCTTGGTAATTCGGACATAGGCATGAGGAGCGTGGATCAGTTCGACCCATCCAACCATCACAAACTGTATAATCACAATTTATGTGTTTAAATCAAATATTCACAATTAAAAACAACTTTGCCAGTCCATATCAACAAAGCTGATGGATCAAAAATTCTCATAACTTGACCCACATGATACATATGTAATTAAATGAAGTGCAGCAATAAATAGTAAATAATAACATACAAGACATTGTCAATAGTTTTATACACTTTTTCAACTAAACCTCTCTATGACATTTTTACATACACTTGGTGAGCATAAATCAAAAAGATCGGAGAAGTACACTGTTCACATGTAGAGTAGGAAAATGGAACAACACCAATTTTTAATTCCATTGAATTACATATGAAAGAGATCGGAGAAGATGTGAAGATTTATTACCCGTTGAGAAGGAGATCGTCATAGAGGAGCATGCGAGCGTTAGGGTGGAGAGGGTCGGATCCCTGAATCTGGCGGTGGACGGAGGGAGAGGAGTTACCGGAAAAGTTGCTAGGAGGAGGAGAGAGAAAGAGGGGGAGGAACATGGTGTGGCAATTGCTGCCGCTGTAGGGTGGTCGGAGGACGATGGTGGTTGCTTCGCCAGAGGAAACGACCTCGGCCACGAGAAATAGGATCAAGACAGTAGTAGTGGTCGCGACCTATGGCCGCAACCGCGCCATTGGTGGGTGGAATTGGAGGTCAATGAGAGAAGTGAAAAGACGGTAGGTCTCTCTTCTCGCTAGAGAGAGAGGAGATGGGGGAATTGATTTACCCACGGTTTGGGTTGAAAACAAAATACATATATAATTAATAATAATTCATGATTAAAAATTTTAGTCGCTAATTATTTTTTTAATCCATCTGAAATTTGAAATCTCCCTTCACATATTTTAGGTTTTTGGCGACTAAAATATTCTTTTGTCGCTATAAATACACTTTTGGCGACCAACTTTTGGTCGCCAAAGATAAAAACTATTTTTTTTTTCTTTTCATTTGGCTACTAAACAATTTTAGTAGCTAAAAGTAACTATACGGCGACAAAAATATTTTTTTGTCGTTGAAAATATACTTTTGGCTACCAAATTTTTGGTCGCCAAAGATAAAAAATAATTTTTTTCTTTTCATTCGGCTACTAAACAATTTTAGTAGCTAAAACTAACTCTATGGCTACTAAAATTTCTTTTAGTCGCCAATTGTGATACTTTTAGCTACTAAAATTTTTTTTACTCGCTAATTGTAATATTTTTAGCTACTAAATTTTTTTCTAGTCGCCAATAATCAATATTTCCCAACTAAAAAAAATTAGTAGCTAAATATTTGACTTTTGCCGACTAATATTATTTTTGGTAGCCAATTCCATAACTTTTGGCGACTAAATTTTTTGTAATCGCCAAAAGTGGTCGCCAAAAATGTATTTTCTTGTAGTGACTTATGGCCTACAACAGAACCATCTATTTTCTTTGAGCTATCAGTTGACTGCAAAATCTGAATCATACTAGCATTATTCATCTCATAAGCCCCTAAAAGTGTGACCATATATTCATCATCAGACTCATCATCAGAGGAGGAGGTAGAAGAAGATGATGAAAATGAAGTGAACATCATGGATTTTAAGGTAGTCATTATGCTCTGTTTTCTTTCAGCTATGATTGTATCACTTGTCTGGCATATGGATAATGTGTTTATATCAGATTTTAGAAGGAAATCATTATTGGAGGCAACAAAAAACGAAAAATATGTAATGGAGGAAAAAAGAAATAGTAAACGAATTGGGAACAGAAAGGGAGCGGAAAAAAAAAATCATAAGCTTTACCGGTCGACCGGCCGGATGACCCCTTGTAAAGCCCCACTCTCGGGTCGTTAAATACACTAAAATAGCCTAAAAAAAAATACAAGTTTCTCCCTCAAAAATAATAATTACAAAATCGTCTCCAAATGGTACAATATCCTCCAAATATTCTAATTACCTCCAAAATAAACAATATTACAACTATCTCCAAATTTAATAATTACAGTGGTGGGTCCCAAATCTCTATATTAATAAATCTTTTTAATCTCAATTTTGAGTTCCACTAAAATCTACTCCGCACCTGAAAAATAAATTAATTCGGGAAGTCTACAATACGACAGGAATACAAGACTCTGATACAGAATAAACTAACAAGAATCCAACAATTTATGACATTAAATCAATGATACAATAATCAAGCAATTTACCAAATTGCACAACAAATCAACTATAATAGATCTAGGACCAAATACCCGGTCCTACTCAGTACATGATCAGTGAATAAATTTATTTATTCACACACCTCACCCAAGCTCCACGCTTATCCGGGCATATTGGTGTAAACAATTAATAGGATTCACTCGATCCATGTACGGAGTATTTCCATGTCATTCAGTCAGACAAATCACTATTTTAACACAGAAATATTTGTAGAGAATTTTACCAAATGATCAGATTATCAACGATTTGACAACAAATGATTTTACAAAATCTATTAATAACCACAATAATCAAGTAGATTACAAATTGAGGATAATTAAAAATAGAGAACTCTTTGCAAAGAGATTTAAATAGAGCATATTGTATACAATCCAAATTTACCTCAAAATAATTAATTTCATTACCATAAATCCGAAATTGCTCCATGGATCTTCAAAAATAATGATGATCTCTTGTAAAATTACTAACTCTCAATTTAAATATTCCTATGTCTAAACTTAAAATTTACATTACAAAGGAGAGAGAGCTGAAAGTTGGAGAAAATTTAAAATGAGAGATAGAAATGAATTTGAGGGACGGATGAAAAAGGCAGAGAAGGAGGGGCTCAATTTATAAGAAACGTAAATGGGTGGTTTATGGTAGGTGGAAAAAAAAACTATGGGTTGTTTGTTGTCCATGGTTTTGTTGCTTTGTTGTTGTTGGATTTTTTTTCTTTTCTTTTCTTTTTCTCCACGTGATGGGAATGGCAAGTAAATTTGATTTATTATAACAATAAACAATAATACGATAGATATAAAAGAGATGAGATAAATACAAATAAATAATTTAAAATTAGATTATTATCTAAAAATCTCACCATTAAATTATCATAATAAACCACCATTACCATTCACTAAATATTAATACCTCAAAAATATGGGGTGTTTCACCCTTTCCCTTTTGATGCACACTGTTGGAGCAAGTCGTATCAGATTGAGAAAATCAGTTATTTTTTACTCAGATTTGGTGAAAAAAGTAATGAACCGTGGGAGATGCTCTAATTCATCTAAAAAATTTAATTGTTTGATAGAATAATTTATTATTTATATCTTCAATATATCAGTCATTTGTAGCCAAACTCTCTTCCATAAGACCATCTCCAACGGTGAACCAAAACTGATATCAGATTTAAATTTTGATGAAAAATGTACTTTTCCATGCTCCAACCGTTGCATCAAATGAATATCAAAATGAGAAATCAGCAAAAAAAGTATCAAACTGAGAACAAGTTCTGGATTTTACCAAATCACTGTTACTGACCGTTGAAAGAGATACATCGGTTGCCCGGCCGGTTGCCCGGCCGGTTGACCAACCGGTCAACCGGTTCCCTTTGAAATAGCTAGGTTCAAACCAGTCAAAAAAGGTTCAAACAGGTAAAAAAAAAAAAAAAATTGCCCAAACCGGTCGACCGGTTGGTCACCCGGCCGGTCGACCACCCGGTCGACCACCTCCCCAAATCTGCTTTGATGCTCACCGTTGGAGCGCCTCGTATCAAATTGAAAAAATCGTCATTTTTTTCGACAGATTTGATGAAAAAAGAAGTGTAGCGTTGGAGATGCTCTAAGGTGCATTGCAACATTTCTTTTCCCCTTAGCTATAAACATATAATTATATTTTTCTACGTTTTGACAGAAATGTGAATGCTATCATTTCTAGAAGATTTGTTGGTCTTTTTGCCTCAAGTGTGACCATGTGGTGGCTGTTGCAAAGGATCTGGTGCAGAAGAATTAGCCGTTCTTTTTTCCATGAAACGGGCGATGTGGCCTCTCTTCATACCAAACTGAGAAGAAATTTCATCCATGCTTAACCCAAGAAGCTTGGAAAGACATTTTCCCGAGGACTCAAGCTTATCTCCATATTGAATTAGAGTACACTCATGGAGGTATGACCTCATTTCCAGTGCATCCTATAGACTCAGTCAGTCAGCCATGAAAAATCTTTAATTGGAGGTACAAGAAAAAGAGACGGTTTTAATGAATTTATGAACAATTAGAATTTTAAAGAACAGGGATTGGGATAGCAGTAGTAAAAGAGCCTTTTGTTGTTGAGTCATGTTGATTGCATCCATATCCTCTGGTTTCATAAGCTTCAAGGTGGGTACATCATCCCAACCTTCTTCTATCAGCTTTGGAAGCACCCTCTTCAAAGCTCCATTCCCCACAAAACCCTCCATTGACAAACATGCCATCCTCTATATATTTTGAGAGGGGTTTATGTGAGTTAACCCTTTTGTCCAAAAGAGCTCTGGATATACAAACAAGTTGATTGAGAATAAGCCCATCTAATCCTTATATATGCAAAAGGGAAAATCCCATGCTCCATACCTTTTCAGAAAGTGTGTATACGTTATAGCTATGAACATGTAATTTAAGTTAGGAAAAATTACACAGTCCTTGTAATTTATTATAAGTCAATTTAATTATTGTAACTATAATTGTATTAATAAGAATTAATCTTTTCTTAAGATACCATTTAGCGACTAAATTTTTTTGTCGCCAAGTTAGTCGCTTAAGCTCTGTCGGCGAATGTTTTAGCAACTAAACGCGTGTTTGGTCGTTGAAAGTGCAACATTTGGCTACTATTTTTTTTAGTCGGCAATGTTACCTTTTAGCTACTAAATTTTATTTGGTCGGCAAAAATAAATGTTTTGACTACTAAATTATTGGTTGTCCATAGTCAATTTTATTTTTTTAAATTATACATTTACTGACCAATACTTAAGGAATCGGCGACCAAACCCTTTAGTCACCAAAAGGTCATTCGTGAAAAAAAATAATTACACTCACTAGCTTCTCATTTGCTCTTGTAGAGATTCAAACCATCAAACCCTCTCACACCATACACCTTATACAAGACACTTTTTCCACTACGCCTCTATAATACCATATGATTATATATGTAACATATATTATTTATATAGTACATAGACCCGTATTAATATAAAAGTATATATATAAATATAATTATTTTTTTATTGAACATAATTTATGTAAAAATAAATTATTTACTAGAAAAAAAAGAGATCACTTTTGGCGACTAAACTTCTTTTTGGTCGCCAATTCTATACTTTTGGCTACTAATTTTTTTAGTCGCTAAAAAATTTAATTTCTGCGCTAAAATTAGCACTTTTGGCGACTAAACTTCTTTTTAGTCGCCAAAAAGCCGTACTTTTCACTACTAAATTTTTTTTAGTCGGTAAAAGTATCACATTTGGCTACTAAACATCTTTTTTGTTGACCAATGCCTCACTTTTGGCTACTAAAATTTTTTTAGTTGGTAAAAGCATCACATTTGGCTACTAAACATCTTTTTAGTCGCCGAATGCCTCACTTTTGGCTACTAAATTATTTTTAGTAGCCAAAACCCTTATTTTTTGTTACTAAAATATTTTTAGTCAGTAAAAGCCTTATATCGGCGACCAAACAGATTGTTAGTCGGCAAAACCTATACTTTTAGCTACTAAATTTTTTTAGTCGCCAAAAATTTTACTTTTGGCTATTAAATTATTTTTAGTCGCCAAAACCTATCCTTTCAGCGACTAAAGGTGCTTTTTTAATCGCCAAAGATGTTTTTTCTTATAGTGTTAAGACAATCTGTTCTATGGAAGCATATATTAACTTTGAATTTGAATATGCGCTTGAATCATGAAGGCCATGAAAATGCTAATTTTACAAATTTCTTGATGGAGGTAACACTACTTTAACCTTTATTATATAGATTATTTTAAATTAATAAATTGTGTTTACACTTACTTTTTTATTGATTTCACTTTTTTTTAGATTGTGACCAATCCTCAAGAAATCGTTAACCTTCCATCAACAATACACAAATGTCAAGATTTGAATGAATTACTTTCTACAATTTATCTACAATTGAATATGATAGAGATGTCAACCCCAACATTTTTAACTGAACGCACAATTCTGTCTGCGCGTAACGATGATGTCAATGACATTAATACTATTACGTTGAATATCTTTCCAGGGAGATTATATACTTATCTTGCAGCTGATAAAATGTCTGAGAATAATGAAATTGATCCTACCATTACAAATAGATATCCTAATGAATATTTAAATTCATTGGATCCTCCTGGGTTTCCAACTTTTAAGTTAGAGTTGAAAGTGGGTTGTCCTATAATATTGTTGAGAAACATTGCACCAAAAGATGGACTATGTAATGGTACAAGATTGATGGTTACTAGGTGCGACACTCGCATAATTGAAGTTCAAATTTTAACTGGAGAAAAGTTTGGCAATTTGACATTCATACCAAGGATATCTTTGACACCATCTTCATCAGAAATGCCTTTCTAAATGACAAGACGTTAATTTCTAGTCTGATTGACATATGCCTTGACCATTAATAAATCTCAAGAACAATCTGTGAAATTTGTTGGGGTTGATTTGCGTATACCAGTGTTTAGCCATGGGCAATTATATGTGGCATTGTCTAGATGTACATCATTTGATCGTATAAGTATTCTCATCTCTAAAGATAGTTTGGATTCTACTACAAATATTGTTTATCTTGAAGTGTTGCTGTAGTATGCTATGTAGATTAAATGACATTTTATTATAAGGTAACCATGTAGATTTATTTCTGTTGATTATATAAATTTTTATAAAATTTCAATTTAATAATAATTTGAAATTTGGACTTTTATAGGATTGGACCAAAAAATCTATAGAACTTAAAAGGAGAAATACGACTAGCTTGCTTCGATGGGGATGTAATAAGGTAATTTCAATCTCCAAGTATTTTGACATGTATATTTCCAACAAATGTACTAATCTATATTTTTTTTTATTTCCACAAATTACTAGATTGTTGTGCATATTCCTCATTGGGGATACATAAAAGTTGATACAAAGACTTTTTGGAAAGTAATGAGGAGGAAGTTTGGGCAAACGCATATTTGAAGACATGTTATTGACACATCTTTTGTAAAGCATACATATTTTTGGTGTATGACAATACAACTTTAATTTTTATTTTTGGTGTATGACAATATAATTTTTGATGTATGACATGTTATTGAAACATCTTTTGTAAAGCATACATCTTTTGTAAAGCTTTAACCCACTTTTGTAAAGTTTTAACCTACTCTTTTGGTGTGTGATAATATAACTTTAATTTCTGTTTTTTGTGCAGTGTTTACACTTTTTTTTACTGCCTTTTATATTTTGATATGCAATATAACTTCAAATCTTATATGTTTGTTTCTTAATTTGCATTAAGATTAGGGGGAATTGTTATTTTATTTGAGTTTTGTAGAGCGTGTAGTATAAGTAAAATTATTATAAGTTCTTTAAGAAGAAAAATATTTCAATATATTTTTTCAGTATCTTTATCAAAAAAATGACACAAACTTCAAAAATTTTAACATAATACGTATAAATTATAACTACATTTTTAATCTTAAAATTATTTACACCATGCCTTTGGGCATGGGCATACGCTAGTTTGTCTAAAATAGGCAATGGCACCATGCATGCATATTTTTATGGTATTATTTTTTACTTTCATAAATATATATATTTTATTATTTCTACTCTATGTTGTTACTGGTTAGCCGTTTCTTTTTTTTTTTTTTTGCAACCAAAAAAAAAAAAAAAAATATTACATTGCACTGTGAATTTTAGGAAGCGAAGATTGGTTGCCAGTCATCCTGGTGTTGCACAAGTTTTTTGATAAATGAAGATATTTTACACTGTTAGGACAGATCCATCCTAAGTTTGGCAAGGATGGTGCTGATCCTTGCACTAACCCCTTAAATGTCTGTATCTTTTTAATCAACATTGGAAATTTTAAAGAACCAAGCTAAACCAAATTAAACCTTGTGTCCCACTCAAGTGGGGTTAGCTTAAAGAATGCCCAATTTAGTCCTAGTTGATAGGATCTGGGGATGGGTAGATTGGGTACAGAAACTGTTGGCATAATTTGGACAACCATTAAGATTAATAATCTTTTATGAATGATAGTATCTCAAGCCATACAATTTATCCTAACATCGCTTTTTCACATGAGGTAGATGAATTTATATGGCCTCATACAAGGTCAGGGCATACAATGTTAAATTTACTTAAGCCTTTTTCTAAGTAGTCAAAATTCTCAGTGGTTGGAACCTATGCTAAACCCGCCCCAGATTTGCAATCATGGTTTTCTTGAACCATTTTAAGTTTGGGTTTCACTCTTCACATCAAATTCTTAATTGTATTGTTGTATGTGATCTCTCAACCTTTGAACCTAATCGTTAATACTTGTATGCTCTTGAAACTAATCTGTTGCCACTTTTGATGCTTAAATGCAGTTGGTGGTTCCCTAAAGAGATAAAATGACTTCTCTTATAACTTGATGCTTTCATTTTCTTTGTGTAGGTCCAATGGAGTATGACATTGATAACTACACTGGAGGGTTACCAAAATTGAAATATTATCCATATGCAAGGACGAAGGTAAAAAAACCTTACATGCCTTGAATTGTTTTTATTATATGTATATTTTTTTGTTTTTGATTTCTTTTTTGGTAATTGTTATTTAAAATTGTGTTAAATTATGTAGACTGCTAGCATGATATTTCTTGATGCACCTGTTGGCACTGGTTTCTCCTATGCAAGAACCCCTGGAGGTTGGCCTACATCAGACACGAAATCAGCTGAACAGTCGTACCAGTTCCTCAGGAAGGTGAGTTAGAAAAAAAGAAAGAGCAATTTCATTACTATTACAGCAGACAAAACTTACAGTGGGATATAAACAATCAATTTGATCATGCAGACAACACTAGTCGTGAGAGATTGATTATGTATGGAGACGAGGGTTTTAATTTTTAAATATCAGCCGTCGTATCGGCCAATATGTATTGGAATTTGGTACTTCCAATATTGATATTCACCGATATATCAGCCGATACTATTTGACTTGGGCTGATATAGGATCATTGGCAATCACTCTTTATGTGTGCTATAGCCTCTGTTTGGTTTTGGAGAAATAAACTGTGCCTTGATCCATAGTTTGTTCCGCCTTCAAATCCAGTGATGGAAATCTATGGAAACACTGAGGAGGTTGAATTAGCACAATGGTTCTGTATTCAGAAACAGAGGTGTGTTAGAGTGCAATGGCAGCCACCGATGGGCCATTTCGTGAAGATAAATACTGAGGTCTTCAGTTGGCAATCCGGATTGTGCGGACATTGGTGGGTTAATTCGAGACAGTCATGGGCTTTGGATTGGAGGATTCTCCAGAAGAATGGGATGTTGTTAGCTTGGGAATGGGGTTTTCGA